GGCTGGCGCGGCAAGGCACCGGAGGCAGGCGGCCGGACGATGGCAGCGCACTTCCCTGGATGGGACAGGTGGGGGACCCCAGGGTGGGGGGGCCTCCTCCCGAGTCCAGCTACTCCCCGGGCCGTACGTCCGAAGACTTGAGGCGAGGGCCGCGCAAGCCACCGGGAGAGCGCGCGACCTGGGCTTTTGCGGGGCCAAGTCCTGGTAGCCGACGCCTATACACTAGGACCCTGGGCTCCCTGCCCGCGGAGCTCCAGCATCTTGGGGACTCCGCGGTCACCGGCAGGGTCCGGGTTGGGTGGCACCACGCCTCCTGGGGCCTCTGAGGGGACGGAGGTTTCAAGAAGGCGGCCTTTGTGAGGCTCCCAGAAAGCACAGGGCCGTTCGGGGAAGATGTGGCCGTGCGGAACGGGACGGAGCTCCCCTGCCCGGGACTGGCGTGGAGCCGCTTCTCCGCCTAAATCCACCATTCCGCCCTCAGAGGCGTCGCGCGAACGGTGGGAAGCCTCTGCGAGCCGAAGGGAGCGTCCGGAATGAGTCACGCAGACCCCAGCCCGCAAGGACAAGCTGCTGCGTCACCATCCAAACTTGTGAGCCTCGCCTAGCTCCTCTACAAACTGAGGAGTATAACCTACAGGAGGCTGAAGTGACGCGACCTGCGAATCTGCCGCCCCTCCGTGGCCGGGTGGAACCGCTGGGCGCGGAGCCCGGGAAACCCTGAAGCGCCGGACGGCGAGCCTGACGTGACCCAGGAGCTGGCGGCTGCAAGCGACAGCACGACTGTGAGGAACTTCCCCACACCGCTTTTCCAGCTCTCTCATCTCTAACGAGCCTCCACCGCTTTTTCTCCGCTCTCCTATAGAAACCCGTGGCAGCCTAACTCTGACCCTTCCGCGGAGAGGGCGCGAGGGGAGGGTGCAATTTGCGTTGGGCCCGTGGCGCATGCTCAGTGGTTTGGGTTTCGGCGGGTTGCCGGGGCGGGGAGTCTGGCTTAAGGATAGCTCTGCTGATTGGCCGGTCTGCGCAGGCCACGCCCATCTCCCGCTGATGGACAGCTCCCTACCTGCCAGGGTGTCTTCCGCAGCGCGCTTGGTGGCGGTGTGGACCCTGCCTTCAGGTGAATCCCTGGCGCCTGAGTTGCCCAACTGCGGGGAGGCCTCACAGCCCCGGTCAGCTCTGAAAGAGGCAGCCCGTTGCATCCCACCCTAGCAAAGAACCAAACACCGGCCTAAAGTGGAATCTTGAAGCGGGAAAACCACCAATCTAGTGTAGAATGCAAACACCACCGTTCAGAACTTAGTGGGCAGGTCTGCCACGTAAGCCTGGAGTTTGGGCATGCAGTCAGCACTCAATAAATGCTTGCTGGATTGGTTTGTTTTCCCAGTGCCTTGGGACACACGGTGTAGCACGGAGTGAGCCTGACAGGTTGGAAGATAAACAAAACCAGTAATGTGTGATAATAAAAACAATTCCACACTAACCATTTCCTCTATTGCGAAATGACGAAGTGGCCTAGACGGTTTCCAGGCAGCAGTAGGGCGGGAAGACCCCAGGAGTCTGAGGCGGGTGCTTTCACGGGGAGCTTGTGCTGTTTGGTGTGACCACACACCCCACGTTTACTCCTCTGAGGTACATGGGCTACTTCAGCTCAGCTCTTACCTGAAGTGTCAGATGCTAGTCTGAGAATCCTAAATGAAGTTTTCCCTTTGAATTCTGACTCCTGAAGAAGTTCCAGATAGCACAGACCTTTACCCTACTATGTTACCTTGGCTCTCTAAACTGCGACTACTTCCACAGAATGCAAATAGATTATTTTTTATTATGATTAAAAATAACAAATGTTGTGGGCCTTTCTTTTTTCTTTCCCTTTTTTGCTTTGTTTTGTTTAAGAAATACATGAACACAGAAAAGAGCACATATATCTGGAGAGTGAAGAGTTCCCCAAACCTCCTAATTTCACCCGTCTCTACTGGCCCTAATTTCTGTGCTTGCTTACTGACTCATTCTATTCTAGAATTGGCAGATTTTCATTTAGGAAGCAGGGGGTGATGTGTAAGGTGCTGACAGTAGTAGTCACTGACAATGTCTGAACAAGTCCAAGTCCCAACAGTCAGAGAAGGAGGCGTGGAAATGTGAACTAAGCCCAGGAAGACCAATTTTCCCAGCAACCCAGAGCACAGCCTCCTCTCCCAGGTGGAGTTAACAACTGGGACATTTCTTAGGTTTAAATTTGAGAAGAAACTTGGTCCTTACTGTTATGGGTTGAATCATGTCCCCTTAAAAGACATTAAAGTCCTTACCCCAGGACCTGTGAACGTGACTTTATCTGTAAATAGGGTCTTTGCAGATGTCATCAAGTTATTTGAGGTCATACTGGACCTTATGAAAAGAGACACACACACAGAAGGCCTGTGATGACAAAGGCAGAGACTGGAGGGATACAGCTGCAAGCCAAGGAACACCAAGCGGGGTGAGACAAAGAAGGATTCTTCCCTTGAGCTTTTGAGAGAGCATTGCCCTGCAGGCTCCTTAATTTCGGGTGTCTAGCCTCCAGAACTGTGAGAGAATAAATTCCCTTGGTCTAAGCCACCCAGTTTGTGGTACTTTGTTGTGGTACAGCAGTCCTCAGAGACTAATACACTTACCAAAGACTTTTTTTTCATCCCCACCAGAGTGGGCCTAGAATTGTGTGAGTTCTTACTGCATCAGCTCCTGGGGAAGAGGCAGCCACACCTTTACTGAAGGAGGAGCATCAGCTCCAGGTGAGGATGCTGCATGGAATGGGGAGGGAGGGATGATGTGGAATGTGTAGTGGAAGGTACATCCATCTGCTTTAGCCTGATAGAGTAACCCCGTCTGTTTTACCAAAACCAAAGAAAGCTTTCCTCTCTGTTGAGGATGATACTACTACATAGTGGAGATTAAATAATTTCAGCCAGTTTTGAAAATCTGCATATAAATGATTGTACAACACCCAAATATTTATAATTGGAGTATTACCCATATTTTAATGATAACCTCTTACTGAATTATTTCCTTGTTAGGTTTGCTTTTGGATTTGTATGGGTCTTAATGACACACAATTAGTTTAAAATTTCTTCCAGGTGTATCCTGAAAGAGTGCATCTGTTTTTAGCATAAATAAAAAGTAACCTGTAAAGAGCAGTCAGTCCTGTGGTTTGTAGCATCCAGGGAAGTGCAGAGGGAGCTTTCTTTTTCTTATTTTGCATAATTGAATTTTTTAAAATAAGCATCTTTTAGTTTTGTACTTCATTTTTTTCTGTGAAAGTTGAACCCTTTATATAAAATATAGGTTGAACTCTGTTGTATACAAGGCATTATTACTAGGGGTCAAAATTTATGATAATAAAATTCTGAAGTTTCTTACAATCTAATGGTGAAAAGAATTTGGGTTTTTTAATTTTGGTAAAATATACATAATGTAAAGTTTACTATTTTAACCAATTTTAAGTGTACATTCAGTGGCATTAAGTATATCCATATTGGTGTATAACCATCACCACCATCCATCTCCAGGACTTTCTCATCCCAAACTGCAACTCTGTACCTCCTCATTCCCCTGACCCTCAGTATCTGGCAAACACCATTCTACTTTCTGTCTCTATGAATTTGACTACTCTAAGTACTTCATATAAGTGGAATCATACAATATCTACCCTTTTGTGTCTAGCTTATTTCACTTAGCCTGTGTCAGTATTTTCTCCTTTTTTAAGGCTGAACAATATTCCATTGTATGGGTATATGCATATATATATATATATATATATATATACACACACATATATATCTCACTTTTTTTTATCAGTCTATCCATCAGTGGACAAATGAGTTGTTCCCACCTTTTGACTATGATAAGTAATGCTGTTATGAAGATGCTTGTGCAAATATCTGTTACATCTCTGTTCCCAATTGTTTTGGATATATACTTAGAAGTGGAGTTGCTGGATCACATGGTAATTTTATGTTTAATTTTTTGAAGAACTATCATAGTGTGCTTCATTGTCTAAATGTTTCTTATAATGGTTGTTTTCTAAAAACATTGGTTGATTAATTTTAGAAAGCCAGCATTTTAAAATTCCACTAAGTAACATAAATAGAAGACACAAACCCTTGAAGGAAGAGCCTCTGGGGAAAGGTATGCAATTAATCTAACAAATTAATAAGTTTACAGATACCCCTTAGGGTTAATGGTACTGGAGAAATATAACTCCGTCTTTCACTTTTACCTTATTCTGGAGAGATTCCTAGCAGAGAAGAAATGAGAGGTCTTTAAGAGATCTTTGAGACCAGAGCTTCTCAAGCTTTATTATGCATATAAATCACCTGGGGCGGGGTGGGGGGGGGACCTTGTTAAAATGCAGATTCTGATTCAGAAGTTCTGGTGTGGTGCCCAAATCAATAGTTCTAACAAACTCCCCACTGATGTCAAACTTACTCAAGCACTTGCTACTGATGCAAAAACCCTATTTTCTGAATGGCCTCACAAGCATTTAGACTTCCAGTTCCAGCAATCTGGCAAACTGCAGGCCTTTACAAATTCTCCATCTGACTTAAATTTTAAGGGGAAAGAAGACCAAACACTCAATAGAAAAACAGACAAAACTGGTAACCAAAAAGTTCACAGAAAAGATAGAAAATGACAGGTAAATATATGAAAAAGATGTTTAGCCCCATTTATAATAAAATAAGTGCTAATTAAAGCTACACTGATAAATAATTGCTCATCAATCAGACTGGGAAGTATTATAAAGCATAACATTATTGGAAAGGCTGTGGAGAAATAAGCACTCGCACACATGGCTGATAGAAATACAGAATGATGCAACCATGATGGAGAGGAATTTGGCAATATATAACAAAACTATCTGTGCATTTACGTTTTGCACCGGTAGGTCCAATACTAGCAATTTACCTTGAAAATACACCTCAGACAATAAAAAAATGCTACACACAAGGGTATTCATTGCAGCATTACTTGTAATAGTAAAGTTTTTAAAAATGACAGTATTGGAGACTGAGAAAATGTGATACGTACACACAATGAGATGTTATTCAACTGTAAAAATGAGTGAGAAAAATATCAGTTAACTAATGTGAAGTGATTTTTCAAGGTATATTGTTTAAAAAAAAGCAAAAAGAGTATCTAAAGTATGCTGCCTTTGTGTAAGAAATAAGGGAAAATAAGAAAGTATACTAGTATCTGCTTGTTTGTTCAAAAAAAAATGCAGGAAGAATAAAACAGATCAATAAGTTTGGTTACCTTCAAGGAAAATAAGGTAGAAAGGAGAGAAGAATTGGGAAAACAGGGGATAAAGGACACTATTCTGAATATACTTTTTTGTATAATTCTGACTTTTTTGATGTTACTGTTTCACATATTTTAAAAAAATATTGCGGAGGGGAGGGTATACTCAATTGGTAAAGTATGTGCTTAGCATGCATGAGATCCTGGGTTCAATCCCCAGTACCTCCATTAAAATAAATAAATAAATAAACAAACAAACAAACCTAATTACCTCCCCCAAATTTATCGACAAATAAAATCAACAAGAATGGAGAAAAACCCTAAAATCAAATACACCAGAAACAAATGGACAGAACTCTGCTTCAGATGAGTAATATAACCATACTGAAGGGCATAAAATGAAACTAACCCCAGTAACCTTCAAATACAGTATTTAAACTATATATCATTAGGTTAAAGATAAAAAGAACTTCAAAAAAATATTGAACTCTTGTAAGTAGACTCTTTTTTTTTTTTTGGCAGATGTATCAGTTAGCAATTCTGAGATGACTTTCTGTGTTTCCAGGAGTGAACAAATAAGTAATATATTCCTGATCATGGGAACCAGGTTTTTCACTGTTAGGGAAGGAAGTTACAGATATGGAAAGGATATAGTCTAGAATAAACCCTGTGTTTTGGGGTTGTATTTGGAGGTACAGTATGAACTCATGGGTTTTAATACAAATGGATTAAACAGATAGCTGGATAGGTAGGTAAGAGAAGAGTGGATAGTTACCCATATAACAGTGGGATGCTACTGGTTCCTACTGGCTCTGGATAATCTTTACCTCACTGTATTGCCTTTGCTCCTTTGTCAAAGATCAGCTGACTATGTTTATGGGAGTCTATTTCTGGGCTGTCTACTCTATTCCATTGATCTATTTGTCTATACTTCTGCCGATACCACTCTGTCCTGATTACTAGAGGCTAGTATCCAGAATATATATATATTAAAAAAAACCTTACACCTCAACAAATAACCCAATTAAAAAATGGACAAATGATCTGAGTAGACATTTCTCCAAAGGTATACAAACAGTCAAGAAGCCATGAAAAGATGTTCAACATCATTAGCAATGAGGAAATTGCAAATCAAAACCACAAGGAGGTACCACTTCACACCCACTAGGATGACTATAATCAAAAATGCAGATAATAAATGTTGGCAAAGATATGGAGAAATTGGGATCCTCTTACACTGCTGGTAGAACTGTAAAATGGAGCAGCCACTTTGGAAAATAGTTTGGCAGTTCTTCAAGAAGTTAAAGACAAAAGTACCATATGACCCAGGAATTCCACTCCCAGGTACATACCAAAAAGAATTGAAAACATATATCCAGACAAAAAGTTGTACATAAATGTTTATAGCAGCATTATTCACAATAGCCTAAGCATGCAAACAACTTAAATGTCCATCCGTTAATGAATGGATTTGCAAAATGTTATATATCCACACCAATGAAATATTACTCAGCTATAAAAAGGGAGGTAGAACTGATTTCTACCACAACAGGTGTGAACCTTGAAAACATGCTGAGTGAAAGCAGCCAGACATAAAAGGTCAAATACAGTGTGATCCTATTTATATGAAAAGTCCAAAATAAGTAGATTTGGGGTTGCCAGAGGCTGGGGGGGAAGGCAACATGGGGTGGGAACTACTAATGGGTGTGGGGTTTCTTATTGGGACAAAAAAAAAAGTTCTGAAATTAGTGGTGAATCACTGCACAACTTTGTGAATATACGAAAACCACTGAATGGAATTAAGGAGTGAGTATTATGGTATGTGAATTATACCTCAATCCAAGAAAAAGAGAATTTATTTTGGGCAAGAAGAAAGTTACTCCAATGAAAGATCTGGGACAGGAGACAGAATAGTGAACAAATAAACTAATAAATATGTAAGCATATCTAAATAAATATTGACTATATCAAACAAAAATAGTGATGCCTAGCTTCTAGAGCTTAAATCAACCACAAATACTGAACAACTGTATAGAAAGCAGGATAGTTTTAGACAGGATGATGTTTGCAGGTTCTTATATTGTTCATGAGGAAGATATTGATTAATTTTAGAATTTGTTAAATGTAACTGTCTAGGGTGTTCATAGTCTATAAATAGAGTGTTTATCTTCCAACTAGTAATGTGAAAGAATAAAATATTTTTTAGAAGATTCAGTAGAAAAGGAAGTAAGAAAACAGATGGAGTAAAAAAACAGGAAAAGTACAACAAATGGACAAATTAAATTAACTGGTAAAAAGAAATCCCACTATATTAGTAACAATAATAATCATAAATGACATACTCCCAGTAAAAGACCCAGATTGACAATATGAATAAAGAAACAAAAACATATATGTGCTGTTTATAAGAGTTGTACCTAAATCATAAAGAAAAAGGAAGGTGAAATATAGAAGGATAGAAAAAATTTATACTAGGCAAATACTAACCAATAAAGCT